ATAAATTTGTACGAGTTGTATTCAATTATATATTTTGAAATAAAGGAATAGAGGAAAGACCTCTCTTAAAAAAAAAATAAAAATAAAAAAAATACAGTAGAGTATCAGTATGCCACCTTAGGCATCTAAATATGAATTTTAAAGTGTTTATTAAATCAATATTTGAAATAAGATTACTGATTTGCTTTTAAACTGGTATTTTAAAGTTAAACCTTTAGTTAATATCTATCTTTAGTGTGAAGATAGTTTAAAAGTTCAATTGCAACTTGCTCTAAAGTCATACGTTTTTCAGGACTAAATTTACAACATTCTCTGACTATACGTCTTAATGGGCCCGGAGTATCTTTTTCTTCAAGAATATCGATTAAATCACCAATATTATCTTGAGACTTAGCTTCCATAAGATTCTCTTCATTAAGATCAGAATAAAGTCTGTATATGGAAGAGAATAAGTTTAGTCATATTAAAATAGCACACTTAAAACTTAAATAAGTAATTTGAATTACGTCATGCCGTTTGTAGCAATTTCCCACACAACTAATCCATAACTATAAATATCTATAATAAAATAAAATAAAATAAAATAAACAACTAGATTTGTTAAGATTTTGATTAAATTTTGCTCAAATTTAAATAGTACCTGAGAGATATGGCTGATTTTTATAGAATTTTACCATTTTTTCGCCAAATATCTTTGACGTCTTCGGATTATTTGCGTACTTTTGCTTAAATTTTGTGGAAGCAGAAAAACGTTCAGGTGCACACCATTTAAGTGACCCTAATGAAAAAAATGATCAATTGAAACCATTTTCATTATAACTTATTATTATTATTATTATTATTTACCTCCACCCGTAATTCCAATGTCCAATTCAGCTTTTGTAATACTTAAACCGAAGTCGGCAATTTTTAATGTCAAGTCTTTATCCACTAAAATATTTTCAGCTTTTAGGTCCGAATGTATGATATCATTATTATGACATTCTAATAATCCATTTGCGATATCAACTGCCATTTTTGTTTTTATATTCCAATCAAGATAATTTTCTGAAAGGTAATCACGTAAATTTCCATTTTCTATATATTTCGTCACCAAAAATGTTTTATCATTTGGGGATTTTACCACTCCACAAAATTCAATTATGTTTTCATTTTTAAGTTTTTTATGCTTTCTAAGTTCATAAATAATTTCGCTCATCTTGGTATTATTAAATTGCTTAACTGTAAAAACACTAAAATATATTAAAATATTGATTTTTTTTTTTTTTTTTTTATGTACACCAAATAGAATGAAAATAATACCAGCGACTTTAGTTCCTCTATATTCTCCAAGAGTAACGTTACCAAAAGATCCTTGGCCAAGCTTTGGTCCCGTCCACTTAATATCTTCAAAAGGTATAAAAATATCGTTCATATCTAAATAAATAAAATTATCTTCTAAATAATAAATTAATTTCACTGGAAACCATACGCGTATTTATATATATATTAGTTTATGCGATGATATTTATGTGCAGGTATTAATTTGCAAATCTGTGTAATGTGTAAATTATAGAATAAAAATTATTACACGATAAAGTTACATATATGTTTATTATCGATGTCAAATTAATACGTATTTTACGTACATATAAATCAATTCTATTATTGTTATTATTTCTCAAAAAAGTATTGTTAATAGGTATGAAATTATCAATTTACAAAGGGTACTCGAACTAAGCTGCAATATAATTAATATGGAAAACATACTACCTGCAGCCGGTAGTGGTGGTTGCATAAATCGGACGGCCTTGAAGGGCCAGGCGCTTGTGAAAGAAAAAATGAAACCTGTCGTCAGTAGTACGCATGTTTTTCCATATTAATTATAGTTCAGTTCTGTGTGCTGTTTTCAACTCATTAATAATACCGATTCTATCTCATGACCACGCCATGTGTAACTTTCGCGATTTATAAGTGAAATATATTACGTACGTACATTATCAATTATACTCAATTCTAAATGCACCTTCAGCATATGAAGTAGCGACTCAAGCAGGTACATTGCATATTTATACATACGTACATATATACTTAAGAAACAAATAGAAATTTAAAAGTGTATCAAAAAAATTGATTATCACTTTGTTCCGAAATCTAGTTTTACTGTATATGCTTTTACATTTTATAATGTTAATAAAATTTTTTATATTGTCTCTCCGTTTGGATTTTTCAAGCTCAATCTACATTTTGTTTATAATGCATCATTCTTTTTTACGGCATATCTTTCGGCCACTCTTTTTTTACAAAATATAGTCAAACCTTTCTATAATCACACAGTTGGAATGCAAAAAAGTGTGATTGTAGAGAAGTGTGACGATTATAGAGGTCAAATTGGATGTTTTATAGAATAGATGGGTAAACTCTGCTAAGGCCGTTTAGAGTTAATTCTTCGGTTAACATCGCCTTTAGAAGTCTCGGGAGAAAGGGGGGGTGATGTTAACCGAAGAATCAACTTCGAACGCCTAAACTCCATCAAATACCACGTGAATATATTAAAAAATTAATGATTACTATCATCGGCGAAGCTTATTTCTTATATTGCCTGCCTACTCTATCAAAATTTATTATATTTAATAATAGCTTGTTTTTTAAAACATGTGCTTGTATAGGAAGTGACTACAAAGAGATTTGACTGTACAACATATATATTACCCGATAGGTACTATGTAAACACTGATGAAAAAAAATTTACATTTCCACAAATTTTTTAAAAATCGTGTGACGAATTCTTATTAACTTTAATATAAAATTCTTTCTGTAAGTAAGATATTATACCTAACAGATAAACTAGGATCATGAACATCGACAGAATAATAGCAACGCACGAAGCTTTCGGCCACATGCTTTGCCAATACTCATCTATCTGTCAAATCATGTCAATGTCCGATAACAAGAAAATATCGGTAGATGGCCTTGTTACCAAGTTATTTTATTTAAACGTAAACATGCACAAAATTGTAATCATAAATAATTTTAAATATATAGACTTAATAAAAAAAGCCTTTAGCCGATTCGTACGATTATTGCCCACAATTTTATATGACCCAAAATCTGTATTCTTGAAATTACAAAGGTATTAAAGTATCTGAATTTTTTTTTAATTTATTAACTTGCTTTGTCAGATCTTCAATTTTTTTCTCAAGTTGTCTAAGGTCAGGTTGTATCTCGGGGAGTTGGAGTGCTTCTATAAAATTATTAGAAAAATATGGTTTTTTATAGAAACTCAATTTTTTATCTTGAATGTCAATTGCAATGTTCCGAAGTTTAATTATGTGAGATTCATAAAAGCTATAAATTTAAATATATATATGTTAAAATATTTCGTACGTTATAATTTTCATTATTTCTTAACTTACATAACGTATGGAAACCAATTTTCTTTTCTCCGCTGATGAGGTAGCATATAAAGTAACTCAATTTCGGCTAGAATCTGTAGCATTGAACAAAATATTTATATAAATTTATATATTTAATTTGAAACTTTAATGAATCAAAAAGTGTATACCTCGGCTTTTAGAATTAAAAATGATTCTTTTGTACTAGTTTCTCTAATTGCATTGCTGAGCAATCCGATGAATAAATTTAACAAATAAATTGTCGATAAAAATGAAAACGCAATAAATAAAATTATCAAAGTAGGGTTATCAACCAAACTCCAGCTAGATATTGGTGTGGTGTTTCCTGTATAGTGTGAAAAAAAAAGATTTTAATGCATGTTATTTAAATTTAACATTTATTGATATTAAGTTTTTACCCGTAAGCATCATATAAACAGCTAAAATTGCAGTGCCTATCGCCATAAACATATTCGTAGATGTAGTAGGAGATTGAAGTAGTGAAGGATTTTCATCGATAGTACCATTTGATTCTATAATGCTATATTTTGTAACTAAATTCCACGGATTATTTTGATCAGAAGAATAACTTGGATGATCCAAAGACACTTCAGTATTAGGACGTAATATTAAATGTAAAGAATGTGCAAAAGCAAATATGATAAACCCTAATATCATCAAGAATGAAAATGCTTTTCGTGCCACTCCAAGGATTATAGAAAAATAAACACCAAAAAATTTTGTTGCCCGAAAAAATAAAAGAAATTTTATTTCTAATAGTAAAGTAGAAATAGTGGCCATTGATGTTGGCATATAATCATTTCTAAGCCATATAATTGATGTTACAATTGGAAGTAAAAATGCACCTAAATCTATAAAGTAAAAAAATTGCAAAAAGAGAGAAATTAGTAAAAATTAATGTGTTGCGTGTGTTAAATGCATAGAAACACATCAAGATACAACATTAAAGTTCACATTACCAAAAAAATTTGATACACTAGATATATATAATAGTGGCGAATAAATAAATTTACGTATTTCGAATATTAAATGCCAAATTCCAAAGGAGATAGTTATATTCAAGAGAATATTAATGGTACTCTGAGAAATATTTGCAGACAATGTAGCAGCTATTATAAAACTACAAAGAAAAATAGTATAAATTGCCCAAATTGCTAAATAATATTTTCTTCCATAAGTATCCCATTTAAATTCGAGTAACGCCTCTCCATTAATATATTTATAAAATTCATGATTTATCGGTTCAATGTTGGTTAAATATGTAAAACAATTAGGTTTAGGTCGCCATAAATCATTCCAAAAATTATATTCTTTTGGATAAGAAACAAAATTTGGTAAAGGTATTAAAAGTTTTGTTGAAGCATAATTTGAATAATAAACATTTACTAATGGGTCTATAACCCGATGTTTAATGGAAGAAAATGGAAAAATTTTGAAAATATTAGAAGCCAATTGATCAATAAAGGATGTCTTATTTAAATGATAGTATACTCCATGACTAGATAAATGTGAAGAAGTTGATTTTTGGTTCACAGAAAGAGAAGGAAGAACAAATGCTATTTTAGTTAAAACACTATATATAAACGCAGGATGACTTTCTAATAGCTTAGTAAAATTATCAAAATCAAAGATAATGCTTAACAAAGAAATTCTAAAAATTGAGTGCGTATTATCCTTTACACACCCTTTAATACATTTATCACCTAAAACTCGAATCAATGAGTCATCATTTAATAAGATGAATGTTTCCATAAGTTCTTTTCCATAACAGTTAAAATAAAAGTCTTCATAGATACTATCTTTTAAAAACTCATTAAAAAGATAAATTTTGTCTTTACCAAATTTGACATCTAAATTTTTGCAAACTACCGCATAGCTAGAGACTGGGAGGATTCTTTCTATTTCTTTATCATTAAAGAGTTCTTTTTCTGAAAAATCGACATTTTCTAAAGAATCGACATTTTCTAAACAACCATCCCAGCTATTCAAATCCCAATCATTCCAATAATAATGCATCCTAATTTTTTCTGATTTGATAGTCCAAATAATTATACCAATGCGTGTAATCATGACTAAATCATCATTCTCGAGAATTTCACATTGTAATATGAAGTCATTTCCTTTTTTTTCATAAAAAGAGGGAAGGATATCCTGTCGAAATTTTGCTTGTCCTGAATTAAGTTTAGATGCCTCAAGCATGACATAATCTTTCTCGCATTTTAATTCCCATAGCAAAAAATGCCCTATAAATTCCAATTCTTTGGATTCAAAATCACCAGTATTACTAATATTCTTTAATCCCTTCTTTATCGTTGCAATTGTCTTTCCAGATGGCGTTGTAATGCTATTTGTATCGCCGAGATCTTTTCGTAAATAGTCAATCCAATTATCACGCACCAATTCTTTAATTAATAATTCTCCATTATGCATGTAAATAATTTTATCTGATTTTATTAAATATGGCTCTTTGATTATTTTCGTTTGATTTTTTTTAATATCCTCATCAAATTTAAAAAGTTTGCTTCCATCAATCTTTTCCGTAAGCTTATAAGGGTCCATCAAATAACATTTTTTGTCTTTTGTTATAAGTAATAATCTTTCTCCTCTTTCAGCAGCTATCAAATGAAATCTATCCAAATTTTCTTCATATTCCTCTAAAAAGAAAGAAAGAAAAACAAAAAGAAATTTAATATGAAAAATCTGCTTAATAGGTAATAGGTAATTTATATTGAAACTTAACTGTATGCCAGATTGAAACCAGATTTTGTAGAAAACACGTATAATCGAGTTTTAATATTTTTGGTTTTTTTGATTTTTTTTGCATAAACTAAAAGTAATTCTTCATCTTCACTAAGGCAAATAGACTCAAGGTCATAATCCCATTCTGTTAAAATATGAATATCAATTGACAATGATTCAATATTCCATATTGTTATTTCATGAATCGTGTCATTATAGATTACTAATTTTCCTTTAGGTGTTATATAAATTTTTTGAAAGTACGTTAGTTCAATCATTGATGTACAAGTCCAACCTTTAACATCACTTGAAATAACATATGCTCTGTAGTCTCTAGCATTGACCATTATAAGTTTTCCATTATTAGTAAAGGATAAAAAATCGATTTCTTTTTGCTGATCAGGAAAGCGTAATAATACCTCAGTATTATTATTATATATTGCTTAATTTTAAAAATAATTAAAAGTATTTAATACATTAACTGTTAATATAACATTAAATTTACAAGTAACTCACCGAAGTTGTAAGGATTAATTCTCATAAGCTTAATGGAAACATCTTTATTGTCTGAAACTGCAAAAAGTTTTAAACCTTTTGGTCCCTTATCAATGTCATCACTAATCGGAATCCTCTCTTCGTCCTTTAAACACTGCATCTCTTTAATAGACCAAAGATTAATCTGAAAGTTTTCATTTAATACAGCAACATATTTCATTTTAGGTGAGCAAACGATTTCTAAAATTTTTTCTATCACTATTGGAACAGTCACTTTTGGAATAAAGAGACTATCGCTATCGTCCATTGGAATAATGCAGCTATCAGAAGTAGATGCCATTTGCAAATTCTCTCTTTTTTTTTTAAAGAAATAATATGAATTAAAAATGCCGGCTAGTTTAGTATACTTGGTACGTACGTATGTACGTACGTACGTTACGTGAATATTTGTCAACTATTTATGTGGATTCGCCTTACTTCACTGACAATCATTTTACCGACTGTTCAATTAGCCGACATCACGCCAAGTGACAATTTACTAAAAATACGTACGTATATAACCGCAACCGATAAAACACTAACTCTAACCCTATGTGATGTCGGCTAAGTGAACTTTCGGTGAAATGATTGTTTTAATGATGATGGTCATATGAACTTGCATACCATTAATCTGAATTAGTTGATTCGTTAATATTGTTTCGTTACATTTTTATGCAGTAAGACCCTCTAAATGCATTGTAACCGAATCATATACAAAAATTTAGGGTGTTCTCAAGCATCAGCCTAGATGCGATTTCATAGTGATCGAAATGGTGTCGTAATTTTAGCTATTGTCATAACTGAATAAAAGTCAATAATACGAATGACGATATTATTAAGATGCTCAACATTAATATTCCTGTGATTTTCTAATAATTGTAGTGATGCTCAACTTAAACAATAACGATAGATCAAATAAAGATCTCAAATCACTGCTTGAGTGGATTTTAAAAAGTTTATCGAAAATTTTGCAAAAAATGTGCATCAATAATGAAAATTCATAATAAAAGTACGAAAACATTTGAGCAATACTTTATTCACTTTAATTTTTATAAATATCTGATAAGTCAGTGCAAAAAAAAGGAGATTCGGGGCAAAAAGTTTTTTTGACTGAAATGATGCTCATTTTTTACTTTTCTTTCATGTAATAAACTACCTTACTTATCTTTAATGACAGGCTCGATTGATCGATTAAAATACTTTCCCGTTAATTGAAATTTAATTCCCGGCACATTTTCGACATACTTTGGCCCATTAATTGAGGCTCTTTAGAACGCCCTTAGTCTAATATGCATATAGGGAGGTATTTCATCAGAAAAGTAAAACTCTACGTAAAGCATTATGTTAGTTGAGCCTAAGTGTCAACGTATGTTTATATGACATTTCATAGGACATGCGTTCAGCTGTCTTACTGATCATTATTATCATAAATCCTGTGACAATGTAAAATATTGTAAACGACTGAATCGAACAAATTCAAACAGATGGCAACTTCAGATAGATAGTAACTTTAGATATGACATATATACAAAGATATAACTGCTTTTGTAATTGATTTTTTTTTCAAAATGTCATTTATAAAATATTGTAAAAAAGAGCAGAATTAAAATTGATTATAATGAATTCTGATACGACATTTATTTCATTTTATCATAAGTAAATTTTTACATTTATTTATTTAAATCCTTAATAATAATTTATGAAATTGACTTTAGTAGAATCATGCCGTAAAAAATTATAGGCTGTTTATTAAAAAGAAAATAAATGAGCTCTGTATAATAATAAAAAGATGTTTAAGACATTATGTGCATAAAATAAATTCGTAAAATAAAATTTACCCGATTCTTAATTTTTTTTTTTTTTAAATAAAATCTTTACGATCACTGGAAATTTCTAGTGAACTGTCATCGGAATTAGTTGACGAACTAAATTCACTACGACTGCTAGAAATATCTAAGGAATCATCATTATTTTTATCATTATTTTTATCATCATTATTTTTATCATCATTATCCGATGAGTTAAATTGTTTACGGCCTTTAGAGATTTCCAAGGAGTCATCATTATTAGTTGAAGATTCCGTGTCAAAGGTATTACGACTACCAGAAATCTCTATATCACTAGACATTTTCTTTGCAAATCATAATAAAAAGTCTCATAAATATTCGGTCTCACAATGGACAAATAAATTAGTATAATATACTTACGATTTTTATGAAATAAATTTATAACTAGCTTAAAAATTTGAATGAATCCTTATCAATAGCTTTGAAAGAAGGCCAGTAAAAATTTTTTAAAGTATTATAACAAAAAATAGGGTCTGTTGTTGTTGGGTCGAAATTTTGTATTATGTAAATTGATATTTATACGATAGTAATTGTAAAAAAAAAAAAAAAAAAAAAAAGGTGGCCTTGACGAATTATATACAAACTTTCTGGGGTTAAATTATAGTATAAATAGGCAGTCCGGAGTTTAATTAGTACAATGCATCTAACAATCAATGTGTGCATGCATGCATACACTAAATTCTCACTTCACTATCGGAGTACTCCGATGATTAATTTGTAGAACCAATCAGAAGTGGTGGGAAAATTAGTAAACCCGCATTTATCTGTTGTACGCAGAGACGATGATATATTACCATTGTCTTCACAATGATAATATGCGGAATTCATTTGATTTACAAATTTCATAATTCAAAAACAGTGATAATACAGTCAAACCTCATTAATATCACCAAGGGAGGGTGGTATTATGATGCAGTTGGTATTGTGACTCACTTATGTTTTTTGACGATATCTCGCGATGCATTGATCAGAATCGAGTAATTTTGGGATCATTCTATTCGTCTTATGTGACGAATCAAATAATATAAATTTTTTTTTGGTTCTAATTGCTAAATCACAATATATAAGTAAAAGTCAGCATTACTTATGATACAGTAGTATTAAGTTTCTTATAATTTTTATAATATATTACCTCATTTTGGTAATGTCCAGAGGAAGGATGCAATAATACAATACGAAACACATAGTGAACATAGTGCGTCATAATACCCCATAAATGTAAAAAACATAGCATTTTTTGAGTAGATTTTGAAAGCTCATATTTCAATGTTGTTTTTTTTTTTTTTTTTTTTGGCAGATAGTTAATTCGCTGAGTGAACTAATTCAATAAATTTTGTAAATAAATACACTATTCCTAAAAATTTTTATATAAGCAACTCTTAATATAATACCCTACCTTATGTTAATCGGGTTTTACAAGATACGTGATGCTGATTTTTGATATTAGCTAATCAAAACTTTCGATTAATCAAATATACCACATAGAGGCACAATAAAATTTTTAGGCATGCCCCTACTGGGAGCATGCCTTTTAGTTTAAAGGCATGCCCAGGGGCATGCCTGGGGGTATGCCCAAGAGGGGGCATGCCTATGAGCCCTGTGCCCCCACCCAACTTATAATTAAGAATCACAAAATAAAACCCAGGAAGTCTAGATATATATTATTAAACAAACATTAAAAATCTATATTTAAAATTTCTGGTTTTTACTCAATTAAAAGTAGTTAAATTACTAATATTAATAAAATTAGTCTAAAACAGTCTTCTATAATTCATATAAACAAATATCAATTTTTGTAATTAGTTAATTGAATGATAAAATTAAATAGAATTTGTGTCAATAATATATGATATATCAGATTAAAAGCAATTATTTGTTAGTAACTATAAAAATTGCTTGTGAATTGCTTATAATTTACTTACTAGTTTTTATATGCTACTTATAAATAGTGCTCCAAACAAATTGGCCAAAATAGAATCTTAATAATTACAACATTTTGTTAAACATTTTCGCCTATATGTGTCAAATTAATTTTCGTACTCACCAAAATTACTGCTGAAATTTTGAACTCTTTCATCAAAATATATTATATAATATAAGGTTTTTGCCTTGAAAATAATCTTCCAACATTTTTGATCAGGCTAATTTGGACAAAAACCAAGTAGTATATTAATTTATGTTTATATATAAACACCTTTTGTCTTTATAGTTTAATAGCTTATAGAATAAAGTTTCAAATTAGTAAAGACAAAAAGAGATTCAAATATAAACATGAACTAATATGCAGTTTTGTTTTTGTTTGAATTAACTCGATCAGAAATATTGAAGGGTGATTTTCAAGACAAAGACCTATATAATTATTTCAAAAAATTCTAAAAATGCCTGCTAAAAATACTTTTTAAAAATAATTTAAGCACATATTATAAAGCTAAAAACAATATACAAACTTGTAAATGATAATAAAATAGATTTATATATATAAAAATGTATCTATGCTATTGTTTACAAATTTGGCTCTATTATTAATTTAATAAGAACTAACTTTTCTTGTTCATTCAGTAGAATAAAACTCGAATTAGAATTATGCATACAATAGTTATTCTTTTAATAAAAAGAAAGGTTATCCAAAAGAATAACAATTGCATATGTAATTTGAATATTAAAATTTTATCTTTGCATTCTATTTTTTTATTATTTATATTAAAAATATAAGTTAATTG